CAGAGGCATGCAACTAACAGATCTTTCTCCAAACGCGTTAGCAACTAGAAGCCTACCAAAGAGTCCTGAGAATCAACAGATAATTCAGGTGTGGACTATGGGAAGATACAAACATAGCAAGGGGAAAAAAATAATTGTTTGCATTTGTGTTCATCTTGGAAGAATATGGATATCAGTGCCAGTACCTTTTCCTATGGCTGAACTTCCATGGAAAGATCTGTCTCAGATTGAAAACTCAGTAAAAGTTGGTTACAGAATGAAATGATCTATAACAAAGCACCACGACTGGCTGATGCTCACTCTTGAGTTCTCTTGTAAATGTCTCATTTAAAGCTGCTTTTGGAACAGAAGATCAGAAAGTGATAAATGTTTGTTTATCCTTCCCAGGTGATCCAAAGAGAGCCAGGAAAGTAAGAGACCAATGACTCTTGTATCAGCAGCAGGCGGCTGGGTAGAAATTGCTTTAAAGAATGGAAATGAAGTGGAAATGAAGATAAATTAAGTAGGGAAGGAGTGAACAGTGACTTTTGTAAAGGGAAGTCATGGCTCTCAAATACTAGAAGTGTGTTAGAATCATACACACGTATGTGAACACACAGGATACAGGAGATGTGGTTGATACCATCTGTCTTAATTTCCAAAAGGCATTCAGTAGAGGCTGTCAGTGAAGACAGACTGCCATAATATATTTATTCTCACACGTATAAATAGAATCATAGAATCATTTGGGTTGGAAGGGACCTTAAAGACCATCTAGTTCCAACCCCCTGCCATGGGCAGGGACACCTTCCACTAGACCAGGTTGCTCCAAGCCTCATCCAGCCTGGCCTTGAACACTTCCAGGGATGGGGCATCCACAGCTTTTCTGGGCAAGCTGTTCCAGTGCCTCACCACCCTCTCCATGAAGAATTTCTTCCTGATATCTAATCTAAATCTCTCCACTTTCAATTTAAACCTGTTACCCCTTGTCCTGCCACTATTTTACACTGTAAAATGTACCACCACCTCACCCCAGCCCCCGCCAGCTTCCTTGTAGGCCCCTTCAGGTACTGGAAGGTGCTATAAGGTCTCCTCAGAGCCTTCTCTTCTCCAGGCTGAACAAGCCCAATTCTCTCAGCCTTTCCCCATAGCAGAGGTGGTCCAGCCCTCTGAATAAGTGGGTGAAAGATAAATGCTCAGATTTTCCAGTGGAGGAAGATCACTTCTTGGTATCCCAAACAACTCTTTTCTGCTCAGCATGTATTTTTAATGATCTGGACAGAGGGAAACTCTTGCAGTGGCAGAATTTGCCAACAATACAAATCTATTCAGGCTAGGACACAGAGCTGTTAATTGCAGTGGCAGACGGATGTCATGACAGCAAGGGACTGGGTAACAGTAGCAGAAAAAAATCGTTGTAGATATATGTAAAGAAAATTTAAAATGAAAACATACAGGCAAAATCCTAGCATTACGTGCTCAGTGGCTGACTGGATTTACCTGAATTAGCACTCAATTATAAGATCTTGGGATTTTACTACATAGGCCCATGGAAATACTAGGTCTGTACTCAGTAGTACTCAAAGAACTAACAGATTGTTAGAAATTATTAGGAAAAAAGCCCAATCAGAAAAAAAGAAATCATTGTTTAGTTTAGAAATCTGTAGTGCACCTATGTTTTGCAGACGGTATGCAAGTTCTGTACTCCTCTCCCCGCCTCAGACAGGCTGTAGCATAACTGGAGACAGTATGGGAGAGGATGGCAAAGATGGTCAGAAATATGGAATCAGATTCCATCTAAGGGACAGCTAGAGAGGATAAGACTGTAGCTTGGGAAAGCAAGAACTGTGGAGGAGTGTGCTGGAGATGTAAAGAGTCCTCAGTGCTTGACAATCTGAAGAGGAAACGTTCACTCATGTTTTTCTGCTGGTATAATAATTAGGAGCTGTCAGGTGAAAAAAACAACCTGAAGACAATTCCTATGTGTCCTGTGTTACCTGTGTAATCCTATATTAGCTGTGTAATGAAAACTTTGACTTTAAATTGTGGAAGTTTATATTGGAAATCACTAATTCAAGGTTTTCTTTCTGTTTCTGCAGGGGAACATGACAGCAAAAACATTGTTTGTGTGTAATATCACAACAGCATTTCTGTCTTTAATTATTGCAGGTAAGTTTATTGGTGGCTGTGGAAGGTCTGGTTCTGAAACATTTTTTTCACACAAGTAATACTTATGTTCTGTGCAAATAACTGTAAAAGTTAAATGTATGTGCATGCCAATGAGTTCTTTTAAACAGTCTTAAAACAGGAACGTGTAAAACATACAGTATCATAGAATATGTGATATTTTCTGTGCTCTCTTATCACGGATTCGTTTAGGTTGGAAGGGGACTCTTGAGATCATCTAGTCCAACCTCCCTGACACCCTGCCAGGGTCGGCTAGAGTCCACCACTGTGTCCAGTGGATTTTGAATATCTCCACAGATGGAGACTCCACAACCTCACTGAGCAACCTGTTCCAGTGATTGATCACCCTCACAGTAAAAAAGTGGTTTTTCATGTTCAAATGGAATTTTTTGTGTTTCAATTTGTGCTCATTGCCTCTCTCCTGTCAGTGGGTGCTACTGGCAAAAGTCTGGCTCTTCGTTCTTCATTCTCTGCCATCAGGTATTTACACACGTTGGCAAGATCTACCCATACGTTCCCCAAGCCTTCTCTTCTCTAGGCTGAACAGTCCCTGCCCTTTCAACCTCTCCTTGTGTGAGAAAGGCTCTACTCCCTTAGTCATCGTTGTGGCCCTGTGCTGGATTTTAAACAGTCTTAAAACAGGAACGTGTAAAACATACAGTATCATAGAATATGTGATATTTTCTGTGCTCTCTTATCACGGATTCGTTTAGGTTGGAAGGGGACTCTTGAGATCATCTAGTCCAACCTCCCTGACACCCTGCCAGGGTCAGCTAGAGTCCACCACTGTGTCCAGTGGATTTTGAATATCTCCACAGATGGAGACTCCACAACCTCACTGAGCAACCTGTTCCAGTGATTGATCACCCTCACAGTAAAAAAGTGGTTTTTCATGTTCAAATGGAATTTTTTGTGTTTCAATTTGTGCTCATTGCCTCTCTCCTGTCAGTGGGTGCTACTGGCAAAAGTCTGGCTCTTCGTTCTTCATTCTCTGCCATCAGGTATTTACACACGTTGGCAAGATCTACCCATACGTTCCCCAAGCCTTCTCTTCTCTAGGCTGAACAGTCCCTGCCCTTTCAACCTCTCCTTGTGTGAGAAAGGCTCTACTCCCTTAGTCATTGTTGTGGCCCTGTGCTGGACTTTCTCCAGTAAATCCATGTCACTGGTGCTGGGGAGCCTAGAACTGGCCTCAGTACTCCAGATGTGGCCTCACCAATGCCGAGTAGAGCACCAGCGCTGAAGGAACACCTTCCTAGACCTGCTGTCAGGTTCTAAGGCAGCCCAGCGTTGACATTCTTTGCCATGAGGGAGCGTCAGTGGCTCACAGTCAGTTTGTTGTCTGCCAGCACCCCAGTGTTCTTCTTTGCGGATGTGCTTTCCAGCTGAATGGTCTGCAGCACGTGCTGGTGCCTGGGGTCATTCCTCACCAGGTGCAGGACTTGGCATTTCTATTTGTTGAACTTCTTGAGGTTCCTGCCAGCCCACTTCTGCAGCCTGTCACGGTTGTCTGGGCGGCAGCGCGACTCTGTTGTATAAACCAATGAAATGAGATGCAGTTTTAACTTTACAGACTGTGTCTGTAGGATTTTTTTCATATAGGAAAACATAGCCACTTGACAATAACATGTAGATTTTTTGAAAAATTGCTAGGCTGCTCAGGTGCAAGTGCTTGTTTCTGCTCTTCAGCTGTCAACCAACAATCCAGTTCGTGTTCAGAACATTTCAGATGATTCAGATGAGTTGCTGTCATCATCTTGTCATTCCACCTGGAATCTTGCAGCAATGATGACTGTTAAAAGAAAAAACTTAATGAATTTCCATTCCTTGACTTTCTAGCAAGCCGTTTGGTTGGAAATGTTTGGTTTTGGTTTAATTTCCCCGCCCCATGGATGACAAGCAACAAGGTTCACTGATCCATTGGATAGTCTGGTTTTTGGCTAAGCAAGTAATCATGTGGAAAGGTGATTATTTGGCTGCCTTTTCCCTAATAGCAGAGAGTTTTATTGTCGGTTTAGTTATGTGAGTACCTTATAATTCTTTACTCTTCCACGGGGGTCCCTTCCAACCCCTGCCACTCTCTGAATCTGTGAAATAATGGAGGGCGTTGGGAGAGGGGGATTTCAGAGAAACTGAGGAAAGAAGTGTGTTAAAAAAAAAAAAAAGGCACTATTTCAGAATATTAGCATTTAGTGGCAGAAAAGGGTTATCAGTTCCTATGGCCACAGCATTTCATAACCATCAAAGTCATTAGGGGCATTCGATACAGATATTTGAGCAATTCAGTGTTTTGATAAGTAATGCAGAAGATACATAGTGAGGTGGTGAGAACTGTGGATGATACAAAATTATCGCTTGGTGGTCAAAACTAATGCTTATTATGAAGATGATGTCTGGATATTGAATGGTTTAGTGATAGAATGTCAATAAGTAAAATTAAGTGGATGTGGAGGGGCATGGAAAGGTCAGAACATAAGAGGAAAGAAAGGGTCCAAAAGCAAGTATTATTGTACTGGCGTCCTACCCTCTTTTCTTACACATTTGTCACTGGTTGTTATCAGAGACAGCGTATTGGGCTAGACAGGCACTTACTTGACTCTGTGTGGCTGTTGTTATATTCTAACAAAAGAGGGATTTTTAGATAAATATAATACTGACTCAGGAATGTAACCATGGTATCCAGAGTTGGTGCCTTTTTTGTCATACTGACCCCCCCAAAAATAAATTATCTCATGGTGTTGCTCTTTTCCTGTATGAACCTCCTTGGGTCAGGAGGAAAGAAAATTAGCTTCTTGCTAAGTGCTTGTAACAATTCCTCTCTAAATGTTCGTAAAATGAAGGGTGAGTTGAAATTTCCATAGCCAACTTAGTATTTGTGCAACAGCAGTTTTAACTTCAGTGCCCTCTTAGGACATTTGGGTACTGAAAGCACGGTGTGTATTGAAGGCTTACTTTGACTAGGGTTAAGTGAAGTTAACAAATGAAGACGTTAAATGTGGTGTTTGTGTACATGTGCATCAAACAGACTGGAGAAACACAAGAACTTTAGTCATTTGCATCTGAACTAAAACATGGAAATGCGAGTCTACTGCAGATGAAGAGATTCTTCTGAGTGCAAACTTTGCATTCAAAAAGCAGCATTTCATTTCAGTGGCTTAACTACATCTGTATATTACTGAGTGGTACTCTCAACTGTAAAGATAAGGGATTATAACTGGTTTTAGTAGATGATTTGAGAATGGAGGTGAGAACTCCAATGAACTTCGTAAATGTAATCAAGAAATGAGTTGTCTATCCTTTTACAGTGTTTGAGATTTTCTTTAATGTTTGTCTTTCCTGCAGAGAAATGTGAAGCCTATGATGTGATACTGAAGCAAAGTCTTGTGCCTGATGGGCAGCCTCTTGCTATTAAATGTTCACCGGAAAAGAGCTTGAAGAGTGGAGACTACAACTTAACATGGTATAAAGTTGGTAACCAGACAGCTGTGCCTAGAGACAAACTTTCTAGAATTCATCAGCAGAAGAATTTAATTTGGTTTCTTCCTGCAATGTTAGAAGATTCTGGAGATTATGAATGTGTCATAAGGTGAAAGTTAAAAAAATTTACGTTGTTACAGAAATGAGTTGCAAAGGGAGTAACTTTTAGAAAACAAGTAGAATTTGGGGGGTAAGAGAAATGAAGTGAAAAAGGGAGAGTGTTCACAAAAACTAAATTTAGGTTGGACAAAGTAAGTCTAGTTTTGGGTTCTCTTTCCTGGTAGGAAAAATTAAATCTATTAGAGAAACTATAAACTTCTCACCCTCTCTTTCTTCTCCAAGAATACCATGTATTTTTGAGTTGGAAAATATGCCCAATAATTTAATTTAATTATCTTGTATTAATTGCAGGAACTTGACAAGCTGCAAGAAAATGTGTACAAAAGTAACAGTTTTTCAGAGGATTGATGGTTTATGCTTAAATGAAAAATTTGCTGTAGAGGAGGTGATATTCACATTATCATCTGGAAAGGTGGTGTGTCCACACTTGAGTTATTTCAGGAATGAGCAGAATATTCATCCTGTTCGTTGGTATAAGGTGAGAATGCTGTCTTTTGTACTGTCTTATAATTGTCCATTATTTAAAATACAAATAAATGATATATTAGTACCCTATTTAATACAAATTGAAAGAGGATTAAGACTCCTTATCTTTTAAAGGCATATAGAGGTGTCTTGAATAACAGGGTAGAAATTCAGCTTACCTGTAGAAGACCTGTTGACCCATGTATCCACCTGGTGGCACCTTTTTGCCTGCTAGCAAAACACAATGTCGTCAACTTCTTTTGTGCAGAAACAGCCTTAGTATGTCATTTGAGAGAGATGACATATCCATTATGTGCTCAGTGTTGTTGCATTGAATAAGTGCCATTTCATATTGTTCACACTTATTTAAAGACTCTTTCTGCTACAAGAACAGAATGCCTTCTGCAGCCATCCTGCCTCATGCTTGTTTGGTCCATATGGTATCAAGAGTATTCAAGTACTTTAAAAATTTACATCTAATTATTGAGTGACTCTTCATTAATGAATACTTTCACAAATCCTGACACTGGCATTTCACTTTCTTATTTCTCTAATACTGAAAGTTGTTTTCTATAGGAAATGAGCTGCACTGTCTTTGAATTAAAAGCTCAGAGCCAAAATGAAGTATGTTTTGCTTTTTATTCCACCGCCCTCGCTCTTCCTCAGCCTCTGCATGGCATCCATCCTTATGCTGTGGTCCATTGAAAGTTCAGATTGCATTAAAGAGAGACAAACTATGGAAAGGCATAGTGATATGAATTAACAAGCTTCTCTACATGTGTTTAGGACTGCCAGCTGCTGGAAGGGAAAAGGTTTGCCTTCTCAAACAGTGATCTTATCATTTTCAATGTGACTGTACATGATCGAGGAAACTATACGTGCGAGACAACCTATACCTACAGTGGAAAACAATATAACATTTCACGAGACATCAGTCTGACTGTAGAAGGTAAGTACATAATTTCACCGTGTTTGTGTTCATAATAGTGGCTCCAAATTTTTGTCCAAGTTTCTAAAGACTAAAGCTAAAAGACCCAATTTGTGGATAGACATGCTTAGGGCTGCGGGTTTTCACTTAAATGTGAGGGAAAGAAATGCTGACAGAGTTTATATATTTTTGTCTGTTGTCGCCACCGTGTTGAAGGCTCGTTCCTCTGTTCAAAGTTGCAGTACGTCAAAGCCTTGCTGCCCAGACCAGCTGCCAGGGTCCCTAAGCAGGTGCCCTCTAGGGCGTGGTGGGCACAGTACTTTCTGCTGTAGCTGCCCCCTCTGTCCTGCCCATCTTACTTCTCTCTCTTTTCCTTTATCCTCTTGATGCAAGAACAGTGAACTAAACTGGCCCAAATTATAGCAGTATCTTGAATCCGTGTGTCCTATCTGTTTCCTTCAAAACCTTGTCTCTTCTGTTTTTGGTTTTAAGCTCCTCAGCACGAGAACTGCTGATCTCTGATATTACGTGTCTAGCTCAGTAGACGCTGATTTATGTCAGGGCGCCACCAGCACAACAAAAATATATAAAAGAAGGCCTAGCTGTAGAACGCAAACTCCTTTGCTAGCACAGCATTATGAGATTGGTACTGGATCACTGAAAGGCTGTGCTATATCAAGGTATGAAATACCAATACTGTTTTTCATTCCAGCTGATGAAAGGCATTTTCGGGTTTGCTAGTAGATTGCATTACTATTTAATTGTCTCTTTTAGTGCTTGCCTGTTTTGTCTGTGTGTGTGTATATATATGTGTACATATGTATGTGGATATGTGTACATATATATGATATGACTATCATATTCATATAATGTCGTATGTATATGATGTGGATAAAGAAAATATTAGGAACTAACTTTAGGTCATATCATATGAAATTATCATTCTGCTCTTAAAATCTGTCCCTAGAACTTCTCTCTTACTGTAATTTCAGCTCCCATTACTCAGTAGACACAAAATTGCATTACTCCTTTGCTGTAAATAACTGAAGGCAGCTCAGTTTTTCAGGACTCCAGCAGAGCAAGTCTGCACTAAAATGGGTGATTAGGGGTCCAAACAACAGTGCAGACGCAGTTTTCAGAAGAGGAAGGGAAGGTTATATCTGGGGCAATCTGCTAGGGGACTCGAGGTGCTTTATGCTTTCTTTTTGTTAATTTGTGTTCTTGGGGAACCTTCCTTGAACTCTGAATAGGAAGTGTTCTAAAATGTCCTACAGCTGCCCGAGATGTGTATGTGTGTTCTGTGAGGGACCTTCCAACTTGGGATTCATTTAGCCATACTAGGGCATTTCTAATGTAGATGTTGAGATCTCCACCTGTTAATTACTGTCCCTCTGTAGGCTGTAGAGAGAAATAAGCTTTCCAGAGTGTCATATATCTAGTCCTAACGTAAACATCTAAAAGGGGCCACTGGTGTTGTCCTTCCTTATAGATACTGCTGTGAGAAGAATTGTAAGGCCTTTAACTAGCATACAGAAACTAAACTTCTCCTTTATAATAGTAAAAGTCTAAAAATAGATGAATTTCACTCTAAAAGTATTTGGTTCCAGTTTGTGTCTGTGGGATGCTGAGTGACAGGCTGTCCAGACTGTAGAGGGGTGATACTATAGATATATACCCGTATGCTTCTCAGCACTTGTGAATGCAATATTACAGTGTTGTTATGCCATGGAACAAGCCAGTCTACCATGAGTGTGTGGAGATTTGTGGCACTGTATTTTGGAAGAGGTGGGACGAAGAATAGTTTCGCCTCAAGTCAGAAAGAACTATCTGAGATAAGATACTTTCAGTATTGGTGGATGTCTGCTATAAGATTGCTGACAATTTTTTAGGTTGTACTTGGGTTGTATTGCATAGAACAGACTGCAACTGCCCCAGGTTTTCTGACAAGCACTCTCTCTTTTTTTTTTTTTTTTTTGGTTGTTTGTTAGTGAGCCCACCAAAAAAGCCTCCAGAAATATCTTATCCAAGAAACAACTCCATTGAAGTGGAACTTGGTAAGTTTTTTTTCTCTGTAAGAAAATATGATTTTGTACCCTAATGAAAATTTATACTCGAGGAGCGGCATATTCTGTGTTTGCTTGGGTTTGGGTTTTTTTTGACAAAAACTAGTTCAGTGGCCAGCTCAGTTTCTCTGTGTTGATATCCTGAAGGAGGAGTATTTGGGGGTGAGAGGGCAAGAGGCAAGGCATGTTACTTACTAAGTCCTAGGGAAATTTCTCAGGTATGAAGAAAATTGTAGGGAGCCCAAGTGATTCCCCGTCGCATGTGTTGCTTTCTATCACTCTGGAAGAGATTCTAAGAACAGATCCATCTTTGAATCTGCAGGGAAAGTGATGCCCCTGAGAGAGGCATCTTCTTGCTGGATTTAGCCTCTTCCATCCTACCACTCTCTCTCTGAACCTGCAGATGAGTGGGTATATAGACCCTCTGTTAGAGTAAGTTTTCTGAAGGGGTGTGGGACCATCCTTAGCCGGTCTGTTTGGGAGTCTGTGAACAGAATTGTGTGGCATTTAATTACATTATGGAAATTAACTTTTCACTTTGTAACACAATTTTATAGGCTCACAGGTTACAGTGGATTGCAATACCACAGGTGCTGATGGGTATGATGTGTTTTGGACAGGCAACGGTGTGTATATTGACGTATTTTATATGAGCAGAATTTTTGCAAGTCCCTGTGAGTAAGTATATTTTCACATTAGAAAATACGGTGTTGGCAACCAAAGTGGAACTTTCTCCCTTTGACACTGTAATATTTAGAAACATTTTTCACTTGCTTAAATAGCTTTCTTTTAAAAATCTCTAGTGCTTGCCTCCTCCAACTCACTTTCTGCTTTGAAGTCGAAACTTCAAACATAGTAGGCATGTGGACTTCACATGTGATTGTGCTCTTTTTGGTCATTGTAAAAATCTGTCTTAATTTCCAACCTTGGGAAAAGGTGTTTTGGAAGCTTACGGCCTCATAATTGTAATAGAGTTGTTTTGCTGAGCAGGCTCTGGCCTGGCAGAGAACCTCTTTCAGTTGGATGAAGCATGTCCAGGCGCATGATCTTCAGACTGTGTCTTTCTTCTGCATTCCCATTTCCCTTCACTTCTGCATTCCCCTTTCCCTTCACATCTGCCTCTCTGAAAGGCTGAAAGAGGTCAGACCTGTGCTTTACAGGAAAAATTGAGACTTCCAGGTTTAAGAGCCTTGAGTTAGAGAAATGTAACTGAGATCAACTGACAAGCTAATGGGAGACTATTGAGGACATTTCTACTGAGGCTTTTAGTGGGGTAACAGGAGAACAGGGAGACAGATTTCCAGTGATGAGTTGGAGTTTGTGAAGAAAATGGACTTGGACCGAGTAAAGCATGAGAAGGGCAACTGGGAGATAAGGTGAGAATGAAGAACAGGTTAAATGGAGTTAGGAGAACAGAAATTAGACCTGACTTGAAAAAGCAACTAAAATTGGAGCACAAAGCAATCCGAAAGTTTCTTAGGTATGACAGGTTGGGAACTAAAAGTTGCAGGTTTTTGTCAGCCCTCATCTCGTGGTGCTACAAAGAAAAAATGTGATCACTTTTGTAAATTCTCAAGCACTATTTATGACCAAGAAACTGATGAAGAAATGAGAGTGCTATCTCAGCACTCTTTGAGTGCTCACCAAGAGAAAACCCTATACAAAAGTAATGTATTGTACTGTTATAAAGGATTGTAGTGCCATAAACAACTGGGCCATAACACAGAGGCACACAGTCACTGAGTTGATATCATAAAAGCAGTGTTATTTTTTGTACTTCCTAGCACTTAAATGGTTGCCTCTGCAACTATTAGTCATTTGCCTGAGTGATGGTGATTCATTCATTCCTTGTTACAGTGTTCAGGTTCCTGTAACTTTCTGCTTAGGAAGTGATTCGTGCAGTCCTATATATGCCCTTTATGCTGTATTTCAAGCTTTTGTTTTGCATTTTAAATGGTAACTAGAATATGTTTTCAGGAAAGAATAGTGCTTGGCTAAGTTGACTAGTTAGTTAATTTTGCACGAGACCTACTGTTAGCAAGGTGGTGGTATCCCTCATTTTGCTGGTGGTTAAAAAGTTGGTAACTTCACACATCACGTCATGCATAACTAACTGAGTGTGCAGCATAATGAACATTTTTGTTCCCTCGTACAATATACGGGGGATAATCTGTGTTTCTTCATGGTGCAGCCTGACACTTTAGCTGTTACAAGTCTGTTCTGATCCATGGGGTGAAGCAGCAGTTTAGACTCCACTCCCTGCAGCTGGAATCACTCTGAGTTGGTGTTGTCTGCTGCAGGTCACCACCTTTCATGTCCTCCCTGTCCCAGAGGTGCTTATCGCAAGATGACGCCCTCATACCAGAGCCTTTTTCGGTGTCATATCACATTCTGGAATTTCTCCCTCTCCACCTACTCTTACAGGGGCTGGGAAGGGTGTGCTTAGGTTTGTCAGGTGTATTATTGTACTTCAGCCTATAGAAAACTTATATTCCTTCGGGGAAACCCAGCTCCAGATAAGATAACGTATTGATGTTTTCCAACATCTGTGCTAGACGTCAGTAAGTGGCCCGACTGTTGTTTGGGTTTCCTTCATATAATGTAACTGCTCATCTGTTCTGAAGTGTGATTGACATCTGCACATGGAGACAACCACTGTTGTGCTGCAACTGTTTGTGATGAAGCTGTTCCAGAAAGGGCTGTGGTTTTATGACTCTGCTTGTTGCCTTTTGGATAGGGAGGAAACTTCTTACGATGGACGCCCTGTGCATTGTGTGAAGCTCATAATTTTGGAAGTGAATAGTGAAGATTATGAACAACCGTTTGTCTGTCAGGCTTCAAATGCCTTTGGCCATGTTGCATCCTATATAATATTAAAACGCAGAGGTAAATACTATTATTTTTGAGGCCTGTGTTTGTCTTGACTTCCCCTGAAGGGGTTTTGATACCAAATGCTCATATATCACGTTGATAGAAGACAGAAGGATTACAGTTTGCAGTATGCATGCATGTACGTGTGCATAGGGAAGGAGTCACTGTAGTGGTGTATTTATCATTATTAAAAAAAAATAGGTAGATGGAAGTGAAAAATATGATACTCAAATTTGTATTATGTTTGTGTGAATGATCAGATTTGGACAAAGTAAACCTTTAAAAATCAGTCTTCTTATATTTTTTGTACAGCTCCTGATACACAAAGATGGCTGACTGGAGGGCTTGTCTCTTTGTTAATTTTAACATTTATTGCTTTAACAATCTACAAGATTTTCAAGATTGACTTGGTGCTTTGGTACCGTAATTCTGCCTGTGCCGGTGCAAGTAAGGAAGGTATGTGAGTGTGACCAGGTATGTTAGTGTAATGATTTATTCACTTGCCATTAATTCTAATCAATAATGTGGTTATTTAATAGAATGTCTGTGGAATTTCCTTGAGGAATTTTCAGATACACACCAAGACATTTCGGGGGCGTGTGATCTTTTTTTCAGTCATAGGGGTAAAATATATAACCATAGTTGAGGTAATAAGCACTGCATAATACTGAAGGCAGTCATGGTGAGATAGGTCAAAAAGAATTCCAGGTTATTCCCAAATTAGCATGCTGCTGTTTGCTTTTCCGTAGTTTCTTTATGCGCAGATTTATGGTCACTCTGCTAGTGACCAATAGGTGTCAGCAGAGCTACATCCTGTAAACTAGCTGTTTGAAGATGTGTGTTAAATACCGATGCTGAAAATTAGACAGTCATTTTCTCAGAGATTAATTTGTAGGTTTTCTGGGGTTTTTTTGGGTGTTTTTTTTTCAACTTTTCTATTTTACCCAACGCTTTCCTTCTAAATCCTGTCAGTTACGATGTTTACGTGTCAAAGAGAAGAAAATGCTACTAGTTTTCTGTGATTCTTCTGATTGCTAAGGTGTAGAAAAATATTTGGACAAGTGTGAAAAAATTGGAATAAGCGCAACATTTTAGATATCTTTGCGTGGCAGCGCTCGGAATTAGACTGTCTGAAGTTCCCCATAGCTTGAAAGTAAATGGATTATGTGCCTTGAGATAGTTAAGTGTTTACTCATGGCTGGTCTAAATGTTTTCATTGAAAAGTAATTTCAACTTCAGGTTAAAAGTTCAGTTTTCCCAGAACACTTTAATAGAGTTTAAAAAAAAAAAAAAGAAAAGAAACTATGTTTTGTAGCTTGTTGAGCTAAACTTAATTTGTTGAGTTAAATCTGATTTTTTTTTTTGTTTTGGTTTTTTTTTTTCCATTCCTGTTTATTATTCGGTTTTAACACTCAAAACCTCAGCTGCCTTCTGGCCTTTTTTTCTATCTCCTCTTCTTCATGGAACTATTGTAAGAGAGCATTGCTGTTTTCCACCCTCTCTTGGGGTTAGGCAGAAGTAGAGATAACTTCTGTTGAGTTTGTTTCGGGAGAGATGGTAAAGAAAGTCCTGCAAGAGGACAGGTACTTAATGTACTGGGCCCTCTGGGGATTGGGTCTCCTTCCTGCAGGTACCAGGTCCTGCATTCATAGGATCACAGACTGGTTTGGATTGGAAG